GTATTCCTCTTCGTTTTCTTGCTACTTTGATATTATTTTTGTAATTTTTTGACAGACGCCTGTGATTCGTCGCAAAATTTGTGTGCGTAATGGCGATTGTTAAACGCTAGATTTTATTTTCGTGCAACTCTGGCGCGCACTCAACCTGTCAGAGATAAAAGTTTCAGTGTTTGAACAGGAGTAGGGTAGCTATTTAGGTGCTCACTTTCGCTTTGCAAAATATGAGAGGGCGCAAAAATAAAAGCCTAAAAAGCCTTTGACGTCAAACTGTTGGCAAAATTTTCCTCCTTCGCAGAGCGCTCTGTGCAAATACAGAGTTTTCGCGAAGAGGTGATTGAGTTGACGCTCTTGTAACAATGTTATCACGTCGAAAATTGACGCACTCATTAAATAAAATCACTTAATGAGTCTGTCTTTCAACCCGAGGAAACAACCAATTTTCTGAATAATTTTTCGATAGATTTTAATCTTGTTGTATTTATTTTTGCCAAACAAGGAAAATCTCTCGCTCTCATTTGCAGGCAAAGTTTGTGTTTTCTTAGAGTGGAATCACAACGACTGCTTTTGCAGAGACGAGGAAAGGAAATGCCGGTGAATTAATTTAGACAAAACTCATCTCGCCGTTGTCATTTGTGCGGGCGCAGAAACGTGACCCCGGAAAAGACTCAATATTGCGGCGCGGAAATTCGGCACGTGCTCGCTTAAGTAATTTGTTTTAATTGCGTTTTGCGCGCGAATTGCTGAGTGCAGTACTAATTAAGTAAAGCACATGCGGTTGTGATGTTCATTTAGTTCTTCCGCAAAAATTATTTCTAAATTGCGGCGCTGATGTAAAATCCCACAAACTTGAGGTTTGAAAAATTAGAAAATTATGGAAAAAATTTAAAATTTGGAATTGATTTTGAAATAATCTGAAACCCCTTGTTGAATTTTTAAGTAAATTTAGATTGCAATAAATGACCAAATATTTTGTTAAATTAATTTATTGACAAATATTATTGGTGATTTGAATTTAAAATCGGCTTTTTCTCGACGAGTTTTTTGAGCTTTTTATTGTGTAAGAAAAAAATGTTTCGGCTGCGGGCTGTGAAATCATTATGACAAGAAGAAGTAAAAATTAATCTTTTATGTAGAGAGAGATTTTTTTTCTTTAACATTAAACAACTCACAAAACCCATCGAGGAAAAGCAGATTTTAAATTCAAATCACCTTGATCGTAAAATTCTACCACAAATTTAATTTTTTCAATAAATTTTACAAATCTTTCAATGAAACATTTTTCTTTTAATTTATTTCTCAAAATAAAATAAAATGAATTAACTGATCAAAACTTTACCAACCAAATTTTTTCAAAACGTAGAAATACATGGTATTTTCAAACAATACTAATGCATTTAAATGTGAAATTAACATTGTTATCGTTTCAAATTCCCAACGACATGCAAGAGGCGTTTAATTGGTGTGAAAATTCAGCAATGTGATTTTTAGCGGAGCGTTTTAATCATCGTCTGGCGCCCATTCAGCTGGCGAGAGCAGCCTCGGGGCGCTTAATCCCCTGTAAGCCTCTCGCCATCTCCTGCAAACACACACTCGTATAATCATCGCTCGCTCGTCTCCTCTTTCAAAAATGCCTTCTTCTTTTGTGCGCGGCCACACGCTTGCATATTATTGAAAAGGCATTCTTATGCGCGCGCGAGTGGCGAAAAGAATAACGCACGCACCTCGCCAAGGCGTTTGTATATTTGCACGAGGAATTTGCGTGGAGGAGCTTTTTGTGTCGCGCCAGAAAATGGGTCTTTAAAGAGGGCTTTGCTCTTGAATAATAATTCGGGCCATCAACGCTCGCCCACGTTGTTGTTGCGGCTGCTCAAAATCACAAAGTCGTTTTGTATAAAACCGACTGGATCGAGCGAGAGAGACAAAAACAACTCGTCGGCAAACACATCGCAGATCTGCGCGAAAACGGCGTAATGGGAAAACCGCATCATTATTATAAATGCCTTGTTTGCAATGGTAATGGAGCCGAGAGAGAAATTTGGAGAGATTGCACGGCACACGGGCTAGAGTAAGAAGAAGTGATATTTGCTCTGGAGCACTCCCGTTATTTGTCAATTACGAGCAGACACTGATGTCTAATTAATTTTGATGTGTCAACATGGAAATAAATTATATTACTATTGTTTATTTCACTCAACTTCAATTGAAACGGTTCTATGTGGCTAGGATATTATAATTTTAATTTATGACGATACACGTAAATTAGAAATGTTACGCAATAATAATTGCAAGCTGATATTTATGTTAAATTTATTTATAATGAATTTTGATCCAATTTTTCTGAATGATGCAATTCTTCGAGAAAAAACCCAGCACCAAACTAGGTTTGAAGTCGTGCTTAAATTTCACCGTTTTTTTTTTTTAATAATTCATTGAATATCTTCTAGCGAAAATTGTGTTTGAAAATTTATATTATTTTCTATTACAATTTTTTAGTCTTTTTTTTCTTCTAATATAAACGTTCTGGTTGTATCAAGAATGAAGAATGATCAATTGATTTTTTTCATGTCAAAATTTCATGAAATAGGAAGATTGAAAAAACTTCCAAAATTTGAATCTAGTTTCAAGATCACGTAGAAAAACCGAGTTATATGAACTTCTACCGCCGACCAGGAGGCTGAATTTTGCACTTGACCTCTGGTTTGCTGGTTGAAAAGGCAATTTAACTGCGATGAATCAAGTTAGCTAAGGCTTTTGGGTCTCATTATATTCTATATAAAGAATAAAAAACGCAAAATAATAAAAATGTTGGATAAAAATGAAAATGGAGAGCCAATTGGAGAAAGATTGAGAATTTGGAATTCAATCTTTACATGGAATGATTTGTAAGGATTCAAACTTCAAACCCCTTCAAATTTAATTGAATTCTATGGGAATATTTTTTTCTATTTTCACTACTTTAATTTTAATTTTTTAGCTTAAATTCAACCCAATATTTTGGAACAAATAAAATTCGCATTAAAGCGGCCACGTTAAAGGAGGTGTCTCCTTTTCGTGTCTCAGTTTTCACTCACTCAGCTGGAATAAAATTTTCGCAGAGCAGCGTGTCAAAGAGGGTTCTCATGTACAAGATATGCACACGCGCCGGTGCTTCTTTGAAATGCACACACTTGACAAATGCCTCTCGGTGCGTCTTTATGACCGTTTTTTTTTCGGCAGACATCATTGTTATGCTCTGTTTAACGAGAAAGATCCTCTTCCGGCGCACACAACGTGTCTTTCGGAATAAAAATTTCCGAGTGGAAAATTGCCGCGCACGACGCCGTCTGCATAAATATTTCCGCGGCTCTTGCCGCTAAAAAATGGTCTGACCTTTCTAGCTGCTCGCGCATTTTTAACAGAGGCAGTGTCGTATGTGTGTATATTCCCGGAATTGCACGTTTGAAACGCACACGTTTCATAACAAAACTCAGGGCAGAACGACGGGTTAATATTTCACGAGACCACGCTCGCTCTCTCACATCTTCAGATCTTCTTCGCTCGACTTGAATAAGAGATCAGAGGAGGCGCATGCAAAAAACAGTCGCTCGCGAACAAGGGTTGATTTTTCATCCCTCGCTCGCCCCTTAAATATGTCAGTCGGGAGTAAAAAGCTTCGGCAACATCCATTTACGCGCCGTCGGAAAATATCCGCACATTAGTTGCGAGCTCGAGAGGTATCAGTTATCTCGGGCCCGTTTCTTTCTTTTTGCCCTTTCGCCGCCGCCGCCTCGCGCCCCTCTCGAACCTAATCCATCACCAGAACACGCGGCCAACACTGGCGTGTAACACAATCCCAAATGCACCCACGCTGACAACGACCGAGCCGCTGAAAAAAAACTGGGAAAAAAATAAAACTATGGAGCTTTTTTAACTTAAAACGGGAGGCACGGTATAATTTTTATAAAAAATAAGAGTTTTTGTAAAACATCACATCAAAAAGAGTCCTTTAAAAAAAGAGATAAGTTTTTATTATTAAATTAAGGATGTTTTTTTTTTTTTAATTGTTTATCCCTATGTTTATGTTTTTTAATTTGTTTTTAATATTCAATTTTTCGCGTATATAGAAAAAAAGACTAAGTTTGAAAAGTATTAAATAAAAATGTAGCAATTTAGTAATTTAATTTTGACATTGTTGAAATAAACATATACACAAACTGCATGTTGTAAAAAGATAATGAATCATCTCAGTATTAGAAAAGTCTTTTTATTATGTCTCCTTAAAGCACCTCTCAAATCTTTCATTATCATAAAAAATGGATAACTGCTAATACATATAAAAAGGGGAAAAGGTTTGCGAATTTTGTCTGCTAGACTAAAAGTTACTCAAAATTTGAGCCTAAATATTAGTGGTCCATTTTACTTCAAAGCGTAAGTTTTTATCAAGAAATCAGTTCCCTAAGTTATTATTTAAATTCAAAGCATTGTAATTTAATTTTGTAAATTTTTCCGCAAAATTAATTATTTCTCATAACTCTGACATTCGCCCCCCCCCCCCCCCCATAAAAAAAGAACACGTTAGAATCGTTTTACACCAAGTTAATTTCGCATCTCCTTACCGTTTTCCACTAGAGTGAGCATATTATTTTTTTTTTCACATCATATTTCCACATTATATCGGAGCCGACGTGTGTGTCACGTTTATTATCCATATTGCGCTGCACGTATTGAGAATCAGCTTTTCCGAGCGAGCGCCGCGGAGAGTTTAATCAAATAAAACACCCGGTTGCCTGCATTGTTTCCCGTGACGTCATTATTCCAGGCGAACGATCCAATTAGGGTGTGCGAGTCTCTCTCTTGCTCGCTCGCTCGCTCGGGCTGCTCCTCGGCTAATGCAGAATTAAATTTGCAGGCCGACTTCGTGCATATTTTATTCGAGCCCCCGAAAGCCACACCTCGATATAGTCGTCGGTTTTGCTGGCACTGCGGTTTCACTGACAAGGGATTTGTTTTCGGTGTTGCAGGAATGGTTCCAGCATGGCCGCCGCCGCGGCTCTACCCTCTGCTGCTGTTGGCTGCGGTGGCCACCTTTGCGGCCGCCTGCAGAATCTCCGAGTTCCAGTGCCGAAATGGACGCTGCGTCCAACTGGACCGTTACTGCGACGCGCACGACGACTGCGGCGACAATAGCGACGAGCCAAAGTTTTGCACAGGTATGATGATTCACATCAACTCTTTTACTTCAAGCAAAGTGAGAAACGGGATTTTTTCTTCAATAATAACAGTTCTTAAAAAGAAAAAAATATTTAAATAAAAAAGAGACAATTAATTTGCTGAATATATTTTTTAACAATATTAGAAATATAAACAGTAACAAGCAATTTATGGTATTTTTTTTAACTCTGGTGATAAAACATTTTTAATTTGTAAATCCGGGCATTTTATAAATATTGCACAGTTTACACAGTTACCCATGGTTGTGGGTTGTAATATGAAACTCAAACAAAACACAAATAATTAATTCCCCGATTTGTGTTTGAATGGATTAATTTACTTTTGTTGCATATCTAGTCTCTGTATCTGCAAAACAACAAGAAAAGAAAGAGCCGACGTAAAAAAACAACAACAACAACGAATCTCACATTCTAAACTATTTCTGAATCTTTTCTCCTCATAGAAGAAAAATATTATAAACAATTATAAAGGAAGGATAAATTGATCTGAAGAATGCTTACCTAGCAGGTGAAAAGGTGGAATAATAAAATTAATTAGTTATGGGAAAAAAAACAAATTTCTGTTTTGTGTGGTAGAAACTTTTGTGCCGGAAAGTTTTTTTTTTAATCCAAACAAAAGTAAAGAAAAATGAGCTAAAACAGAGCATAAATTCAAGCAGAGCAACATGGACATGCAATGTATCATATGAATTTTATTCTCATATGCTGTGTAAATGGAAAGAAAATTTAATTTTTTTCCCTCACTTTGAGAAGAATTGCGGCATCGACGTTTTTTTATCAAAGAATTTTTGTTGGCCATAATTACAGACAAAAAAGTACACGCTTTTTGCTTTGCTTGATGCATCAAAATCACAAAATTTTCAGACATTTTTTGCATTATTCGTGCATATGATTATATGAACCAAGTGATAAGAGAACTTATAAAATGCTTTGCACATGACATTTGACTCTGAAATGCTCATAGAAGTGTTTCTTCGAGTCGCTGAACCCAAAAATTTCTCGTCGCAATGTGAGCATTTTAATTTTTTTCTTTCAAAAAAGTTATTTATAACCGTTGTTAAGACAATCAGCTTCTTTTTTTCATCAATTTAAATTAAATTGTAAAACATTTTTTTTTTGCATCGTCCATTGCTAAATCAAAACTCCGAAACACATTTTTTTTGAATAGTTTAAGTTTATTTTGGGTAAAATTCATGAATAGAAAAACACATTCAAAATTATTATTCGATGAATGACTGTGAGATTAATTTAATCCAGCAACAAGGCCAAATCAACAAAAGGCATTATTTTTGAATAATTGAAAACAAAATAACATCGCCGGTGCATGAAATCAAACGCATGCAAACAAACAATAAAATCTCTCGCGCGCGCGCCACATCAAAGCCGCCGCTGATTCGAAATGGAAACCAAAACTAATTCCCACCTAATTTGATTCTGCGTTGGCCGCTCTCTCTCGAATGTTGTGCGAATAATTTAATGGACTGGTCTGCTGGGCCGACGACGGACAAAGCCGGGCGAAACTCCATTATTTTGTTGACACGGCCTGTCACACTCATGAATAGGTGTTTAATGAAAGGGGGCTTTTTACCGCAGCGACCCCCGCCGCGTGTCGTCGCTATCGGTGACAAAACGCGCGTCCATTCCCACCTTTGGCCCGGCATTAACGCCAAAAAATCCACGCAGCGGTGCAATTTTCGTCCAAACTTTATCGCCACTACCTTTTTCCACTCCGAAATGGGAACTTTTTTACACCTCGCTGTCTGTGTTGTTGTCTCTCTGCTGGTTGTAAAAAGTTTTTTGTAGCACAAAGTTAGCTTTATATGTGATAATAGGACGCGTAAATTGGGAAAAAAAGAAAATTCTCACAAAACTCATGCGAGACTTCAGTTATATCAAAGTTTTTGCCTATTTTAAATTGCTTTTACCACCTAAAAATTTGAGAAAACTTTTAATCGTTTAATTGCTTATTTAACTTTTAGAGAGATATAATCAGAAAATTTCTTTCTCCCTCAAGATATACTTAACGCAAAGGGCCGGTTCAAGAAGTAAAATGCTAAAAAAAAGAATCCTAAAATAAAAAATAATATTATGAATAGCTTTCATGAGCTTTTTTGTGGCATTATTATTAGAGCCCAGTGTTTTTAATAAAAATTTCAGAAAGGAATAGTCAAAGTATCTTAATTAATCTCTTTGTAAATTAGACATAAAATTAACACTTCTTTTTGTATTTCTTGTTGTCTATTGCTTTGAATAATAAATTTTTTAGTCATTCACTATATTGTTGAAAAATATATCTTGAATTTAAATATTTTTATGGGAAAAACATTTATACCAAAAACCTCTGCCTTATTGTTAGAGTGGCAATTTTTATGATTGCGCTGTGAATTTTTTTTTCTAAAAAACTCTTGGTTTTTCCCCTTGGAATGTTTAAAAAAAATCAACATCAAACTTAGAAGTTTTTATCACACCAACGCAATTTTTTCTTCAACTTACTAAATAATGTTTTATCCGATCTAAATATAATTACAAACGTTATTCAGCTGTAATTAAATATGATTAATTGATATGCTCAATTTGACTTACAATTAGTTCAGTATGCATAGCTGAAGTTTGTATATCTCCCGAACGAAAAGTTGAGTTTGGTTCAGTTAATAATAAAAAGCTTGCGATAATAAACACTTAATAATTCACGCGGTGAATTTCCGCGCTTGAATACAATAGACTGAAAATCAACAATGGGGGCATTTTTGATCAGGCCCGGCAACACAATGGCTTTTAAAATGCACAAAGTAGTCGACTCGGAATGTGTAGGACAAACAAGCCTGCGCCGCTAATGGCCGGCGTTATGCAACGCGCCGAGCACACGCGCGCTTTGCATAAATTCCCCGGAGGACGCGCGACGAATTCGTACGTATAATTCTGGCTGGTGTGTGTTCCAGCGTGCAACCGGACGTACTACGGTGACGTGGGCAAGACGTACGAGCTGGATCTGCAGAAGCCCCTGGAGAACCGGCTGCCCTTCCTCTGTCATCTCACGTTCACCGCCAACGGACACATTCACGGAGACCTCGTCCAGGTAGGAAACTCTCGTTTGACGTTCTCTCTCGCTCGTCCCATTCATATTTAAAGCCTAATGCGTTTATCATCGCCTCCCGGCTGTCCCGCCGGGCGCACTTTAAAGTGAAAAGGGACGCTTTCTATTTATCTTGGGAATTTCTAAAATGGGACTCTAGGTGGTACTAATATAAACTTCAGTATCTTTTTGATAACAAATAATAATTTTCTTTTTAGTTCAAATTAATTATTGGAAATCTTGTTTAAAAAATGAAATCCAAACTCAATAACAAAAGTCTTTCTGCTATTTATTGTTTTATAAGTTATTTATGTTCAAAAAGGAACTGGAAATTTTATCTCGTAGTTTAATTGTGTACTATTGTGTACAGTTATGTACAGTTACGTACGTTCCCTTTTTATGGAAAAGTGATAAAACAAAATAATTTAAATCAACTATTATAATTGTTTGATGAAAGAAAAATTTGGGAAATTGAGCTTGCAATTAATATGAAAAATTTTGTTTAAAATTCAACATAATCTATAAACGCTAAATTATTATTTTGAAAAAAACAGTAATTAACTCAATTAATTACATTTTATGAAATGATTTCATGATATTATTAAATTTGATCAATTGAAAATTTTCAAACTTTTAGCGAAGGCACAGTTTAGGGATGTGCAAAATCAGCTAAGCTATTTGTTTCTCCGTATATTGTCTTTTGATAATTAATTCATTAATTTTTCGATGCGAATGTAAGAAACTGTTAGAAATAATTAAATATTCGTTTGTTTCACGGAGATTTGAATAAACTCGCCTTTCCTCGATGGGTTTAAATTCTAATCACCATGAATCAATCCTAAAATTCTACCGAACATAAATTCATTTGTTTGTTTAATTTTAATAAAGAAAATTGATTAAATTAAAACTCGGCACCAGAGAGAAAATAAAAAAAATCTTTCCCTCTCCCTTTTATTGCTAGATTTTTTTTAAATTTAAAAAATTAATATTTGTCTCAAATTTGATTGAATAATTAAAATAATAAATGAGTAGGCCTGAAGAAATATTGCAGTTTGCGGTGACTTATCATAAACTACAAAGTATATTCACAGGCAGCAACTTATTCAAAATTCAAACTATTGGCGCAGGCACAAATAAAACCATCTCACGCGAGAAATTTTTATTTTTACCTTGTTCTCACGATCGATTGAGGTGCTACATTCAATTACCGATCTCGGCATCGCGCGTCTTCCTCGCTCCAACTTCGGATCAGGCGGTTTGTTTATTCTCTGGGCAGAGTTAATTAAATTCTGCGCGCAAACTGCTCCAGGTAGAGGTAATGCGAGTGAGCGAGTTCTCTCCTTTCCCCACAGAAATTCCAACGATTTTTTTTTCCGCCTGCTTTTCTTATTTTAATTCGCTTTCATTCAATCTGTGGAGAGGATAAGTGTTTGTGATTGCAGAGAAATTCAACAGCCTCTTTTAGATTTTTTTTATTATTTTATTTCCGTGTAAATCTCACACGTGGCGAATTTCCTCGGTAATAAATACCACGAACGCAAATAAAGTGTCGGTGGGCAGAATATTTCACTCAATTTCCGCTAGTATAATAAAATCGATTGAGGCCATATTTCATACTCGCCCTGACACGCCAACCTGGCTGCATAAATCAAGTCCGCAATAAAAATCTGCCCGGAATATATAAACATGCCTGTTGGTTATTAGAGCAGCAGAGACTTATTCGCAGAAAATTCCAAGCGCATTTTTCAACTCCGCGAGCGAATATGATGATAAAGCACGTTTTTATGAGCAGCTGCAAGGATTAGCTCAAAAGTGCGTGAAATTTATTTGAAAAGGGTCTGCTTTCTCTCTCTTTTGGACCAAAGAAGAAAAACAACGCAAAAAAGTTTGAAAGAGCGGATTTTAATAAAAGGCTAAATGAGCACCGAAAAGAAATCTTTTGATGCGAAGTCTTCCTTTTTTTTATGCGCGCGCCCCTCCTTAATAAAATATATATATTTTTTTACTGTCCAACTTTTCGCTTGCTAATCCCCGAAAGCGCTTTTTATGCATTATAAAGTGCGCACAAAGCCCAGCTGGTACTTGCTTAAGTTAATGCAAATGAGACACAGACGGATACGTGCGTCGCTCTTCTCACGAATATTAAAACCCTTTACGGTCCATCTCAAATCTAGACGACGTTGCAGACTGATTGAAATTTCCTTCTTTGATGGTGACATCTTTATATTGTTGCAAAATCTAACGGTTTTTTTAGAATCGCAAAAATTGTGTAGAAGACAATTTTTGACATAGATTATAGTTCTCCTATGTTATGTTTATACTCATATATTATGTAAAAGTTTTCATTTAATTTGGATTCTACATCGTATAAATTTGAAATCAAACTTTCAGTTCAAAAAGTTTTAAAAAGCAATTTTTTTAAATCTCTAATATAGCAAAATTTTGTATTTAATTTTTTTTTTATGTATGTTTGTTAGTTCTTTGTTCATTTTTTTTTAATAATTTATTTTTTTGTTTGATTTGTCATTTCCATGCTCATTTTTAATTTCAGTCTGAACATTTTTGTTGCAATCATTTTAATTTAAATAATTGAAATGATTGGAACAAAATGTTTGACGTAAATTATAATGTCAGATATTGAAATCTTATTGGTTTAATTAGGCTGATACGAGGAAACTCTTCAAATTTAACCTGGCAGATACTGATAAAAAAAGGAAAATTATCGAATTTTTCGCAAACTTTACATTGGAATAAATATTTTTGTTTAAATCAGCCAATGAGATGAAGAATAAAATTATTTGATTAAAAATCAGACACAAAATTATTATGTTGCTTCTAAAATTACATAGAAAAAAGTGTATAATTTGGTCCAGTCATCGGCAAGGGAGCTCCGGAGTGTCACACACAAAAAGAACGATGAGCCGCCAAAAGTAAAAGGTTGCGTGCAATTGACGGCGACGCTGTTTCAGTTTTCCACACGTTAATTGTTTTCTCATTAGAATAAAAAAAAATATAAAATGTGCAGAATTTCCTTAGAGTTTTATGGAAATTAAATTTACATTAAATATATTTCACATTCATTGAAAATCACAACGCAAAAAGTGTTAAAACCATTCAGGAAAAATATACGAAGAAATTAAAATACATAAAAACTTTCCAAGAAGCCTATAGAGTCACATGACCATGCCAATTTTCAAGCCCTTTCCTTCTATAAGGGGTTAAGTTATCCACGAATGAATCTTCTTCCGATGAATATACAATTTTTTACCGTATAAATCAAGTAATAAAATCTTGGAAATTGAATCCAAGAGTAAAATTATCATAAGCATTAACATTTTGATTATTGGAATTTTAAATTTAAAACAAAAAGTTTCTACAGTAGTTTTTTTTTCAAGTTGTCGCGTGTTAGCTTCACTAGCCGCCAACGCAGCTAGCTACTGAGCCCTGGCGCCTCGACAAGGCCCGCGACCTGACCAGGGAAAAATTTTTGGTGTTCTCTAGCTAGAAGAACTTTTTTTAGTTTTTATTTCTACCTACAACTGCACCTCCACCCAATTACAACCAAAAAACCAAAAATTAAAACACAATTACTTACAAATTCTCAACACAATACCATTTTTTGCAGCTGTCTTCTTCTTCTTTTTTCTTTCTTCGTAAAAAAAAAACTGAAAAAACGTAAAAAAAAACGCACACACTAACACTGGCACAACCGAATTGAACGGGGAACGGTGAACGGTGGGGGGGTTTACGATGACCCAGAGGTGAGACCCTGAGCGTCACCTGCTGGGGCGCGGGGCTCGAACCCGAGCCGTGGGCCACCACGATAACCGAATTCTGTAGTAGTGTTTACTACTGTATGCGAGACCGAAATCGGGTCCCTACCAACTTCCGGAGACCTTTCAGGGCGTACGGTACCCTTGAGACATGCAACCCCGATGCCGCGACCCAATTACCTCAAATTCCGAAAATACCTAATTAGTGCATGGAATACAAATACATCACCATTAAATAACAAGATCACAATAAACACTGGCACAACCGATTTTAGGGGAACAGTGAACGGTGGGGGGCTTACGATGACCCAGAGATGAACCCTGAGCGTGACCTGCTGGGGCGCGGGGCTCGAACCCGGGCTGTGGGCCACCGCGATATCCGACTCTGAGAGACCGGGAAAATCGCGTCCCGACCAACTTCCGGAAACCTGACAGGGTGTACGGTACCCTTGGGGCATCCAACCCCGATGCCGCGACCCAATTACCTCTTAACACCGAAATAGTGCGTGGATTACAAATACATTGTCAACAAATTACCAAAAATACATATACATAAATTATTTTTTTACAAATACATATAAATAAGCGATCTCTTCAATCTTCTCTCTTCGCTCTTCGCTCTTCTTTCTTCTTTCTTCTTGGGGCCCCAATCACGATGATATCCTAAAAATACACACTGACAAAATTACATCATGATTAATTATACAATACAGCATAAATCATAAAAATATACATAAAGAAAATTATTAGTAACCAGCACCACCAAACATCCACACTCGCACACACACACACACTCATGCATACTCTCCACCACCACCACCACCACCACCAAAATCCCTCCACCCCCCCGAAAATCCACCACCCGCCGAGCCGTAGCAGGAGACTAGGGTCATTGCAGGCCAGGGGGCTTTGCGGTGCACCCCTCAGTCCTTCTCAGGAACCGGATTTACTATCCGCAAGCGGTTACCCCTCCTCAGGACCCTCAGATGCCCCCCTCCACCCCCAGAAGCGACCCACTCACCTGGACACTGCATGTTGGCAAGCCCTGGACAGTATCCAATCCGAAGACTCTGGACACTAACACACGACCACACCGACACCTCCGGCCACGACGAGGGCCAACCTCACACTGACGCAATATGATGCCACCTATGACGTTATTGGGCGTTTTTCTCACAGCTGATTGTCTTCTTCCTTACACTTTTACTATCGAGTTTCAGATCAAATATTTTACTTTTTTTAAATAAACTAAACTATACTGAATATTTTTTCCAGATATTTTGTCAATTTAAAATTATTTTTTGTAATAATATGGTTCCAAAATAAAGAAATATATAAACGTTAAATTATTAAGAAAGGCGAAATAATAAACAAAAATTAATTATGAAACATGGTTTTTTTTAAACTTTTTTTAATTAAATTTATATTTGTAGCTCTCAGTCAGAAAATTACCTTAGTTTCATTATTTTTTTTAATTATTATATCTTGAGCTTTATCTATCATAATTTAATCCTTATTAATCAGGGCCTTTTGTTACGTTGATATATTTTATTTTATCCTGTAAATTCCTTCCTGAAAATAAATTTCACATTTAACTTTGAGGACCAAAAAAATTAATATAGTGAATAATTCCAGTCAAATGTTTAATTTTAAAAGAAGACCAGTTTTTTTTAACTCTTTTGGCGACAAAAAGCTCAGCGACCAGGCACACAAGTAAACGACCGCGGCCGACGAGATTTCGGTTTCGGCCCAAAACCCAAGTGAGCATTTTATCAAGACGTGGGCAACCGGCGTGGCAGGCCCGTCTAGCAGGTTGCATAACTCGGAACAAATAATTATTTCCAACCTTCAATCTTCATAATTTCAATGCGGTATGAAAAATGAATTATAAATTCAAAATATGATAGGAAATCTTGTAATAACAGAAATTTTCTAATTGAATATTTTAGTTGTTTAATCAAAATCTTTACAAAAAAAAGGATATATAAATGTGTCAGAAAATGAATATTCTTTAAAAAAATTTAACTTCCTTTCAAATTTAATCATCAGAATAAATTATTTTGATTTTTAAGTCCTTGTTCATAATCATCAACCGTCCGTTCAGTTGTATTTTCGTGACATGTTATCCGAGCTGCGTGGAGATGACATAAAATTACATATGAAATTCAGCCTTGTCATTGGAAAGGGATAAAAACAACCTGAGGCAATGATTTACATCGGGCCAGCAGAGTTACACGCGCCCCTGCTAATGCCACACCACCCGCCCGTTCTCTCTCTCTCTCGATGAAATTTATTACAGCTGACGCAGAAACAGGCAACCTAGGGGTTCGGCTGCAGAGACTAATGCTTGTCCGGGACATGGCGGGAAGCACAAATCTCTCGCTTTGCTTCATTTGATTACCGCGTCGATATCGGATTGTGATTTGAGCACGGCTTTTGGATGTGACTGAATTAGCTCGGGGTCGGCAACCTTCATGTCAAGAGCAGGGGGGAAATATGGAATTTTTATTGCTCACAGTATTGTTTTTTATGGCAAATGTTTGTATAATTATTGAACAAAATTAAACATCAATAATATTACATTCTATTTCAGTTTTTCAATAACAAAATTTTAGTTTCCGCCCAAAAAATATAATAATTACTTGAAATTATACGGGATGAAAATATAATTTTGGTTTGTAGGTAGCTAAATTTGAATTTATGAGTTATGATATTCAAACATTTTCCACATAAAATTATCTCTTGGAATGGTTTAGGTTAGGAAATTAATAATAAAAGGCGTGGTTTTGAAATTGATTACGAGATGAAATTTAAATTTTAGTCAAGCTTTTTTAGAAAAGTTCAACTATGGAAAAATTACAAATTTTACTCAGCGGGTACAAATTCAGAAATTTTATAGCAATAATCTTAAAAAATAAATTGTTTCTAGTGTTAGTCATCAGATATTGAGATTTAAACATTTCAGATAGCTTATCTAATAAAAATATTCCCTCGATATGTACGATTTAAGTCAAACTTGCTAATTATTATAATTTAACAAAACCCGTGTTTTTGTTTGTTGCAGTTGATTTTCGACGCGTTCCAAGTGGGTCGTTACGAGGCAACCTCTTTTGACGGCTGTCCCGATGGCTCGATGCAACTGTCCGAGCTGGGCCGCCCATTCACCGGCGGCTCGTGGTGCGGCTCGTCGACGGCGCCCGGCGGCCAGAACATCTACTATAGCGAGACGAGCACCGTGACCCTGTCGATCCGGCTGTACCCTGGGCACAGATCTTCAACTTCGCCGTTCGAATTCCGCCTGCGCTACAAATTCATCAGCCACGAAAACGCGGTGGTGCGTTTCGGGCCGCCAGGGTCGCCCCTGGAAAGGGGGACTCCAGTTCCCGGGACATACTGCAGCCGGAACTACGAGGAGTGCGACCGGCGGCGCTGCAGGTTGCAGTCGCCCAACTACCCTGGCATCTACCCGCGCAACGTCACGTGCTACCTGAGCGTGCGGCAGAAAAACCTGCCCAACTGCAAGCACGCCATGATCGCCGTCCGGCAGGAGGGAACGCACAAAATGCACATCAAGCGGCGCTCGATCGACAACGCCACCATGTTGGCGTCGCCGTCGTCCGTCAGCGGCGCGCTCAGGGCGTGGAAGGACTGCACCAGCGACAAGGACCACCTCATCTTCTACGACGGCGCCTCCACCGACGACCCGGTGCTGGTCAAGTTCTGCGGCGGCGACTGGCTGCCCCCCATCGTCACCCGCGGCCCCCAAATGCTGGTGGCCTTCCACTCGTCGCCGTTCAGTGCACCGCTCAACGAGGCGCCCACCACGTCTCTCTCGCTCAAGGGCTTCGAACTGGACGTTGACGTCATCTTTGTCGACTCGGACTCGTTCGACTACTCCAAACACAACTACAAGTGAGTAATTTTTGTTATATTACAATTTGAAAGCAGATACAGTTTTTACTGTGGGGAAGGATAACTTCAAAACTATATTGATTTTTCAAATAAATTGCCAAGCAGGCCATTTTTTTCTTTTTAGGAATGGCATTAAAAATTAGGAATAATTTAATTTTTGATTCACATCAATTGTTGTATCCTCTCACACAACAAGTAAACATTTGACAAAAATATTGGAAGTTGAAAATTTATATTGAAAGAAAAAAAAAGAATCGGCAGCAAGCTCTAGAATCTCATATAAGCCCAAAGCCCACTTTAACAACTGTTTTAAACAAAAGTGCTAATAAATTAAACCTATTCTTGCTGAGGTGTAGCCATGAACGGAAAAATAATAAAAATATTAAATTAGAAGTCACATGAGCCTAGATGCTGATGTGAAATTATTCATTTAATAATTATTGCAACTAATAATTTTTCTCGATGATTTTATCTATCAGATAATTTTGCTCTAAGTAACAAACTGCATGAGTTTAAATTGATAAAAAAAAGTAATTAAATTTTAATAAATATGTATTTACAGTATTCATTAAAATCAATTAATTCATCAATTTTATTTGCTTAAAAAAATATAATAATTAAGAAAACTTTAAAGATACATATATTCATATTTTACATTTTCCAAAATAACTTTATAAATAATATTTGACTAAAATTTAATATATTTATATTTTTTTTTTTTTATTTTGAACTGACTTCTTTTTCTGCTAGCTTTTTTATTCCTATTAAATGTATCTCAATGGAGAATTAATAGTAGATAAATATTATATAATCAATAATCTAACCTTTAAATATATTAGTAGTTAGTTGTTGTACATTTTGACATTTCAAATTGCAATATTTATTACTATTCAGCCACTTTCAACTCTTGTTGAGGAATTTGTTTTATAAAATATCAGGAGCAATGTAGAGATGCCACTTTTTATTCAAGAAAACGACAAGACCCTTGGCGAAGGGTAACATTTTTGGACATGAAACTTCTTTGCTGGATGCGCGCGTATTGATACCGATAAATTCCATCCCGACTCCATTAAGGGGCAATAGCGCAGAAAAAGCGATTCACGAAGTTTGATTTACTTTTCTATTACCGCGGCTAATGCTCGTCATTTAACGAACTGAAAGAGGACGACGGCGGCGACTGCATGAAAAAGTTTTGATTTCATTAAAAGCCACATCAGCCGCGGCAATAAATCACGGCCACGACGCGAATTACTCCAAGTATGGGCACAAATATTTACGCCAATAAATAACATCAAGGTGACAGTGAGTGCTGCACTTACAGGGCCGACAAAGCTGCGCCATAAATCAGCGAGATTGATGAATCAACCTCAATATATTTATATGACTTTTGAGACGAGGAACAATTTTGCCGTGATGTGCAATCAGTGACGAGTGCACACAACTTTAAAAAAATAAATAAATGCTATCTCCAGTTTCGCAACATTTCATAGCCAAGTCTGACGTCGAGCAGGCCAATATTAATGAGAACAAAGCGTCCAGTCTCACGGAATGCAATATTTTATTTACTTCACTTGCTGCCGAGATTGCTTTATCTCCTCTTTCGCTCTTCTCTCTGCAAAAATAAAAAATGAACGTGTTTCGTTTGAAATGAAATATCAGAGCCGCTCGCTCGCCAAATCGATACACGACTCCTTTGTTTTGCTGCTTCACTTTTCTCCTCCTTGCAGGTTTGACTTTGTTCTCCGAGAAGTCGCGGATGAGTTTAATATGCAGGGGTGAAGAAAACAAGCCGGGGGCAGTTTTTCACCTTTCTCTCCCAGCTTATCTCTATATACTGGCCTATTCATTAGCGTGAATAGGCCCTGCTTTGTGCATGTATATTTTTCGGCTTTCCGAGCGGCCATGATGGAGTTTTAATTTAATCAAAAAAGCGCATTTCATCTGTGAGTGGGTTGTGTAATGAAGGCAGCGCGCGCCACTCATTATAAGGCCATGCTAATTAGTACAAAAAAATCCGCCGCCGACACACAAAGTAACGCCGAGGGAAATAAAGCGCGGCGGCACCACCGGCGCCAACACAACACAATCTCCCGCCGCTTTTACAACTCGGCCGCCACCCTTCCTCGCCATGTTACGAGGGGGAAATAAAACATATTGCCCAACAAAGTAACTTCGTCAGAGACAAAACAATCAGCTCGGAGTGTTGGTTGATGAAAAAAATTAGCACATTGTGCGGGGGTTATATTAGTAAAATGAGAAAACTCTTATTATTTTAAAATTACAACTTTTAGTCGTTTTGATCTTTGTTTCTTCTACGTAAAAATTTCACTTCCATAAAACTTTATTGTAATTTAATTTTTAATATCACAAAATGCTACTCTATGATATTTTGTTACCGTTTTTGAGTTTATATAAATTTATTTGTCATAAAAATTATATAAAATTAATGTTAATTTTTAAAATTCAAATATTATACAATTAAGAAGCAATTTTAATTTAGAAAGTAATAAGTTCTCAAATTTAGTTTAAATTAAAATCTAGAAATGACCTAATCACCTTTGTAAACAATCTGTAAAATATTATTTATAACATTTTTTTTATGAAATTGACTTTTATTTAATTCATCTTTATTTTTTGTTCCAGGTGCGAGTTCTGGATAAACGCAACCAAAAGTATTCTACCTGAAGATGATATGGAGCCGTTCCAGGACAAGATGGTGGAATTTTCCATCGCAGGCGAGGACAACGCCAATGCCCAGCGCCGCCGAGATTCTCGAAGTCTCCGCGGTGGCATCCTCAACAGCCCCAGACACACTTTGTCGCCCAACACCACGTGCTCGTATCACTTCGTGGGGCGGGTGGGCGACCGAGTGTGGATCTCGTTCGAGTCCTACTGGCACCAATCGCTGCTTCCCCCTCCAGGCGAGCAGATGCCGCTTCCGCCTCCGTCCAAGGTGTCGCCCAAAGGGTTCAAACCGACCACGACCACCACCACCACAACGACCCCCGCACCCAAAAAGGGCAAAAAGAGCCAATGTGCCTCTTGGCTCAAAATCTGGGAGCCGGGCGTGCCGAAGCCGATGGCCGAGCATTGCGACACGTCGCCCAAACTGTGCGACCACGCCATGTTGGCCAACTCGTCGCGCGTCACCCGCACCTGTGATCCCCACGAAAGTTATCTCTCCGTCGGGCAGAACCTAGAAATGGAGCACAAAACCCTGCCAGGCACGGCTCTCTACCCTTCCAACTTCCGGCTCAAGTACGAATTCGTCGACACCCGTCTCGCTGGCGAACTCTGGAAGGGCTCGGTGCCACCTGGCGAACACTCCAACAGGTGCACCAGGATCCTGAGAACGCCCCCGATGAAGTTCACCTCGCCCAAGAACGTTTTCCTCTTCGGCCGAGGCGGAAACACCAATCTCTCCTGCGTTTTCCGCTTGGAGGCGCCACCTGGTCGGGCGGTCAAGGTCACCCTGAAGAGGACCTCCTTTGGGGATGACTCCGTGAACAGATGTGCCACCCGTCCTGACCCTTACAACAACCGACCCAGGTGCGTCAACATCCAACCTGAACCTGACGGCCGATGGGCCGAGTTGAGACTAATCGAAGTTCCGTGGCGCGACGTGAGGGCGCCACATGCCTGCGTGTGTGACAATTCCAGCGTGGGCATGGAATACGAGACCTCCTCTCGCGTCCTGGAGCTGCAGTTCATCATCAAAGGAATGGCCCCGAACGAGGACCACTCTGACTTCCACTTCGAGGCCCTTTTCGACACGGTCTCCACCGGTGGTCAGGACTGCGCCAAAAACCGGCGGGGAAAGGCCACCGGGGGCGAGGTCATCTTCCACGGGCCCCCCGCACCTCCCACCCTGGCCCCAGGAGGCCTGGAGCCGACCAGGGCGCCGCTGCTGAGGACCAAGTCGCGGGGGTGCGGCCACATGCCGTGGTTGTTGGAGGCCGAGGAGAAGCACAGCCTGTTTGTCTTGACGTGGGGCACCCTGCTGCCGCTGGAGCCCTCGCAGGTCGTCGGAGCGGATAATGAGCTTTCCAAATGCACCACGCAGAACCGCATCCTCGTCTACACGGGCAGACCCGCAAGGTACGTGTGCGAGCAATTTGCCTTTGCATGAGTGACGATAATTTTCACGAGCGCCGCCGGCCGTTTTCGCCGAGCAAAAGTGCTCACTCGGGCAGGTCCAATAATAATTCACTCGGGGGCGGCTGGCAATGCTTTCCGCCGCCGCCGCGTTCTCTGCGCCGCTCTTTTTGTGTTTTTGCATAAACTTTGCTCAAACTTTGCTGGCAGCCAACTCGCAGGATTGTTTTATGAACGAGAAACCCGCCTCGCGTTCTCTCTCTTGTGCAATTTCATATTTAAATTCTGAAGGAAATGCGAGCAAAGTTTGTGTTGCCTCGTAAAATTTCTATGCACAAAAGCGCTGCAACTCGCTCTTTACAAAAAATATCGGACTTTTTTTCTAATATATTTATTTCCAGTTGCACACAATTGCAGCGCGCGTGAGTTAAAATCTGCACTGAGGCGTGAGTGCTAATTGCAAAAGTTAGATTAAGGCAGTAAAATTCATTTTTGAATCAATGGAGCGAGCGTTTTTCCATAACGGACAAGCCGGACAAGCGTTAAATTAGTTTTGCTCTGCGCGCTTCAGAAATTTACATCATAGATCATTCGCGAACTGACAAGGGCACTTCTACAACTCTCAATAATTGCTTTTGTTCAAAAATTGAATGCAATTTCATTCAGGACTTTTAATTGAGTCTTTTAATAAAAAAATAATAGTTTCTCTATGGTACTCAATTATTTTTACAAATGAAAAGAATTTATTCGTTTAGAATTATTAATAAAGAGTAATCTTCTGCACAATTGATTTCCACGTAATTGAATTTTATAATTTATTTACAACTTATTGAGGCTTAAATGAAAATTGAATAATTTTGTATTGAAAATTAATAAATTTTCATATTTAACAAGAAAAAAATTAATTGAAAAATATTTTATTCTCTGCTTTAAATCAGTAATAAAATGTAATTCTATATTGCGCTATATTGTATAATATTTTTAAAAATTATTACAATTTGGCGAAGTTTCCTCCTTCAAAAAGCGCAACTTTTTTGCACAAACAAAGCTGCCAATGAATCCATTTTAAAAATTAAATTAAAAAGTGACAAATTTTATATTTAATTAAAAAAAAAGGAATTGACCCAAAAATATATTTTATAATACTTTATTTTAAATCTAATCAATAAAAATTGTAATAACTTTTAACTAACATTTTAAGATAATTATTACAAATTGGCAAGGTTGCTTCCTTCAAAAAGTGTAACTTTTTTGCACAACCGAATCTGTCAAAAATCCATTTTAAAAAGGAAATCAAAACGTATTAAATTTTTATATTTAATTAAAAAAATTTAGTTCTCACTGTTTTAAATCTGTTGAAAATTTGAATACCATATTTACTAGATTTAAAAAAAAAATTATTTTACAAATTGGCGAGGTTCCCTTTGCCAAAAAGCGTAACTTTTACGCGTAAACGAATCTGCCGATGAATCAATTTTTGTTTTATCACTAGGAGCGAGTGCTGGCGGCAAATTAAAATCGACTCGCGCGATAATCCATCTCTATCACGCACGCTGACAGCGGACCTAATTGATTAATCACTCTCGGATGTCCATGTGTGTTGCAGATTGGTGCGCGTCGTGTGTCCCGTGGCGCCGCACTCGGCCCAGCACGCGCTGCACCTGTTCTCGAACGAGTGGTGGGGCGCCGAGAGCCTCAACCTGGCGTCCCTCCCTGAGCCGGTGCAGATGGGCGGCGAGTACCTCGAGCCGTCGCGTCCGCCGCAGTTCCTGGTCGAGTTCGTGGGCCGCGAGCCGGGCACGCACGCCATCCAGTGGCTGGACGTGTCCAAGTCGCGCTCGACCAGCGCCGCCCTCCTCCAACCCCCCTCCGACCCCTCCCTCAGCCCCTTCTTCTACTACTCGGCCGAGAACTCGAGCGACGCCGGGCCCGAGTGTCCCTTCCGGTGTCCGGAGCTTGACGCGTGCATCAGCGGCGCGCTCTGGTGCGACGGCCACGCCAACTGTCCCAGCGGCTACGACGAGAACGACGAGAACTGCGAGGCCTACTCGATGACCTGGGCCTACATCTACATGATCGTCGGCCTGGCCGTGCTGTCCGTGGCGTGCGTGTCCTGCGCCATCTGCGGCCTGCTGACGGCCAACAAACGGCGGCGCTACGAAAAGCGCCGCAAGAAAGAGGACACGGACTCGTCCTACATGGGCACCATCCGCAGCATCAGGAGTCGCACCACCACCGAGGACTTCATGTTCGACCCCTCCTGACAAAACGACCCGCGGCGAGCCCAGTCGGTCGAGTACATCCGCGTCGAGCACGAAACCACCGTCTAGGACACGCGTCAGCCGCAAAGTTACAGTTTCGGGACACATGTATAAATTTCTCCGGACAGAAACACCAAAGCTTATTAATCCTGCTCCCTCCTCGTCTCACACGTGTGACTTTGGTGCTCTCTGCGTGCATGTTATTGACTCTCTCGCGACGGAGAGACGATTTTCTATCTCAGCTCAAGAAACGGCGAAGGAGTGACACTTTTGTGGAAATTGCCAGTGTTCCTCTCTCGCTTCATTTCCCGCATTTATGCAGTTGAAGAATTCGCGTCCCCTCACTCTCGAACCAACCTCACGTTTTATGGGGATACGGATCATGGGCAATCGTTAAATTTTGCATTTTCTTCATTACCTTTTTTATTATTTGCATCTGCGACAACGAGCGCCGAAGGCACGTGGAAGAAATTGTGAAGTTAATCATAAATTTTATTTTTTACTTGATTAGACGGAGAGTGAAGAAAACGCTCTGCATTTTTTATCTCTTTGTGACTTTTCTTATTTTGAAACACCGATTTTTTATTAATTAATTAATTTTTTACATTTTCAATACAGAAATTTATCCAATTATCCTAACTCAAAACAAATGCGGAACAGGGTATGAATTAGAAATTAATTGCAGTATTTAAACAAAATATAAAACTCTTAAATAAATAAACGCCAAATTTCGGCTTTCCTGCAATTGAATCTTTCCGAGCAATTTCCTTAGCGTGCTCTCGGCGCTTTCGTGGAACGTCTCCTTTTGATTACAATTTACGATGCATTGCTGCAAAATACGCTTCTCTTTTCGTGGAGATAAGAAGTATAAATTACATAAATTTAAAGCCTCCTTGTGTACAGTTACTGTTCAAAAAAAGAAACCTAGCGAAAAGGAAATGCCAAATTAGTTGATAAATGTGCTGCAACAAAGCCTCACACACACGACCCTCCAAGTTAGACCAACTCTAGATGGTAACTGAAGTGCACCAATTTATTTAGAGGTAGAGAGCGTTTCAATAAAAAAGGACGACAAGCAAAAACGACACTCACTACATTTTCTAAGAAAAAGCTCAATTAAAATACGATTTAAATACTGTTGTTCAATATACTAAAAAAAGAGAGATGAAATATTTGCATTAAACTGAACAAGTTAAAAATTATGTGTTGTATATTTAAAAGGACAAAAAGTTGTTTGTATCAAAACACTGACCAAGGAAGGTGACGTGCGCAGAAAATTAATCGAAAAGCGTGATTTTCCGTGAAAGAGACGCGCGCATGTGTTGTTCATTGGGTGTGGTTTAGGCAGTTTCGTTCTTTGTAATGTCCTATCGGGCGCCCTTTTCCATTACACTTAATTTACTTTGTGAAAGGAGAGATACACACACAGAAAGCGCTTCTAATTGAATTAAACTCCTTTAATCTGGCTTTAATTTTTGCTAATGGACACAAAAGCCGGTTTTATGAGTGAAAGTAACACAAAAAGAAGAAAATAATTATATATTATATAGACGATGTAAAAGTGATCGTACGAGAGTTTCACCTGGATTTTAACTCGCGGGAATCTGGCCCATCGGCTGTACATAAACGCAATTATACTTAAACTCGGTGCTCATAGCTGATAATTAAACCCATCAAAGAATAAAGAATTAACGAGGAAGGGAAAAAATTTAAAGGTTTCGAATGAAAGGTGTCTTTCAGTAATTATTTTGTATTCTGTACTTTGAAATTATAGGATAAAATTCATAAAATTTCTTGACCAAAATGAATTGCAACTTTATTGAGGGAGGTTCACATTTTTTCTAGTTTTAGGGTGAAATCGGGAAAGGATGAGGTGTAATTGGCAGTGAAAGGTTACCATTTTGATTTTCACATATGTTGTTGGGGTTGTTGAAAGGTAGCTTGTCCTAAATTTTCAGCTTAAAATATGGTGCGCTTTTCCGGGAAATCGGATTTTTCCAAAAACAGAAAATATTGAATATCTTTGCTAAAAATGAGAATATATGAATGCTCTCTTCACTACCAGACGTAACTTTTCACGCCCGACAACTTTGCTGTTGATTATTTTTGTGTAGGTCAAAGGTCAAGGTCACTAATTAGCAAATTTCACTTTCAAACGCAATTTTCGCAAAGAAGCACACCTTGGATTTTTTTCGTAATATACAAAAAAATGTAGCCCTAAGTGTGTAGAACAAAATACTCGATTTTCAGATTGGTAACTTTTTCTGTTTAATTGATATTTTTAATTGAAAATAAAAAACAGTGAAAAATCACTTTTCCGCAAACGAAATTAATTTTCAAACAGCGATAATTTTTTTTCTGCTAGAGATACGGAAAAACATGTTAGTACAAAAAGTGTTTCTAATGACCTAACCTATCGAACCACGTATCGATCATGTAAGTCGAGTCACTTAAGGTCATTGACCTCAGTGACCTGTGACCTTGAAAAATGATTTTGCAAAATATTAGTTCATTAAATAATGAAAAAGAGTGCGCCTGTTTTGAAACGTTTCCAATTTTTTGCAATATCGTTTTTCAAGGTCACAGGTCACTGAGGTCAATGACCTTAAGTGACTCGACCTACATGATCGATACATGGTTCGATAGGTTAGGTCATTAGAAACACTTTTTGTACTAACATGTTTTTCCGTATCTCTAGCAGAAAAAAAATTATCGCTGTTTGAAAATTAATTTCGTTTGCGGAAAAGTGATTTTTCACTGTTTTTTATTTTCAATTAAAAATATCAATTAAACAGAAAAAGTTACCAATCTGAAAATCGAGTATTTTGTTCTACACACTTAGGGCTACATTTTTTTGTATATTACGAAAAAAATCCAAGGTGTGCTTCTTTGCGAAAATTGCGTTTGAAAGTGAAATTTGCTAATTAGTGACCTTGACCTTTGACCTACACAAAAATAATCAACAGCAAAGTTGTCGGGCGTGAAAAGTTACGTCTGGTAGTGAAGAGAGCATTCATATATTCTCATTTTTAGCAAAGATATTCAATATTTTCTGTTTTTGGAAAAATCCGATTTCCCGGAAAAGCGCACCATATTTTAAGCTGAAAATTTAGGACAAGCTACCTTTCAACAACCCCAACAACATATGTGAAAATCAAAATGGTAACTTTTCACTGCCAATTACACCTCATCCTTTCCCGATTTCACCCTTTAACCAAATAAATGGTTTAAATCATAATTATTTACCTCTAAATTGTTAAAATAAGCAATTTTACTCGTGGTTAAAAAAAACTATTTTTTTTTGCAGAAAATTAATATAAACTTCATAAATTATTTTCAACAAATTTAACAACAATTAAAAAATCTTAATTAATTGATTGATAGCGCCTTGAAACGAAACCTTGCAATTTTCCACCTCGATTACGATTTCGAAAAATCCAGAATCCCTCTTGACACACAACTTTTGAGCCTGGCAAAAGATCTGTCTATCCTCCAATCGTGCGTGCCAAAGAAAATTCATTTCCCAACAGGCGTTGTTGTGAGTGACGGAGACAATTGAACGATAGACTGAATTTTAGAGGTACACACGTGCAAACCCTCTGTCTACCTAAATTTATAGTTTCTCAAGTTCTCTTTCTTATTCGCGCCATTTTTGCACGGCCTGCGAGACGAGAAGACATAACACGGCAGCCGGCAATTTAGCAGGGCAAACACAAGAAAGTCCCCCAGCCCCGGCTGCTGCAGCGCCGAGGCGAATTTCATTATCTCATGACTGATGTTGTTAGCTCTTCAGGACGACGAGGTTTCGTGCAAAAGAGAGAGAGAGAGAGAGAGACACGAGGACGACTCATTACTTACAAAATAAATAAAAGACGCTGCTGCGCTGCCAACGTACGATTTTTACTTCTCGGAAACGCGCCGAGAAAAGTTATTCACTCTCACAAACTTTTTTAAAATCGGCGTCTCTCACCCGCAAGTATATATAATATTATTCTCGTATAAGAAGAAGAAAGTTGCCAATGAAGATGATAAATTTATTACACACTCACACACTCAAAAACTCACTAATTGCAATTATTGTTGTTATTAGACTGGTGTAAAAAGTCTCTATTTTACGAAGAGACATTTTAGGCTTGAATTATTTAATTGAGAAAGTCCTGGGTAATTTTTTTTAAGCTCAAAAAGTATTTTTTAATAATACTTTTATTCTACAAAATTGATGACAATACTGATTTTCTACGAAGTCGAATTACTTTAATATGAAAATAATTTTTCTTTAAAAGACTTAATTGAAGTTTGCTATTGAAATTTTAACCATCAATTATAAATCAGTAACGATTGAAAAATAATTTTAATTTTTAAAATAGTTAAAAACACTTAATTAAAATTTTTTTTTCATGAAAATGACCAAAAGATTCTGTTTTAAATCTATTTATTTTGAAAAGAGGTAAAATTTGGAGCAAAAAGATTTTTTCACCAGTCTATTTATTATTATTATTCATTATTAATTAAAAAAAAAAAACGTATGTAGTTTAATGGCAGAGTTTATAGCAACCCGGCTCCTGTTGAATGAAAATATGTCAGGGTTTTATGAGGTGCGAGTTTATGTTGATCTCTGTCATCACCGCGAGTGTGTAAATTCAAGTCAAGTGTATATGTATATCTCACACAGATCAGCCGGAGGAGAACATCATCAGGCCATTTGTACATAAAAGAGGAATAAAGATTAATTCTGTTGATCCTGAATTAAAACCGAGCTTGTTTTCTTTTTCCTGCGGCACCATCAACACACAAAGCAATCCAATCTCTTTCCACACTCCATTGTGCTCGTCACACACTGCATTCGATCCAATTTCATCTGAGATAAAATCGAGCTTGGAAACGCCCTGGCATCAAAGCGGCGGAAAATGCACTCGGCCAGCGACGTGAACGGCATTTTTACTGCTTTTTTAGCACCCGCGCCCGACACCCAGGCTTACAGGCACATAATCTCATCCCGCGGCGCGCAAAAATAAATAAATTCAATACTACACATAAACAGGTTTACGGCTAATCTTACTGCGGAGATGGTCAGAGCTGAACAAGTAGCTAGGAAACAGCAGCTCTTGAATAAAAAAAAATGCTCTCTCTGATCCTCTCTTCTGCGTCAGATGATTTGTGCAAAGAAGAGTCGACAGAAATGAGAGGATGGAAAGAGAAAAGTCCAGCAGATTTGCTCCAAAAAGGACATTTCATCCAAAATAAATGAAATCTGCTTTTGTTATCCAGAGTGCTCAGCGAAAAGCAAGCTTGGTCATAAAAAAATCCTTATTATGAAGCTCAAAATTTTCGAGAAAGAATATAAAATTGAGTCTCTTGATTAGCAAAAAGCTATGCAGAGAATTCAAACTAAAATGTTTTCTATAAAAATAATATTAATAATAAAAATTATGACATCTTGGATGTTTGGTAGAATATTTTTTTATTTTTTTATTTTTAATTAATCTAAAATAAAAAATTTACAAATGTGATTGCTTTTTAAATAAATTTCATAAATATATTTAACTTTTTAAATATTATTATGTTAAAACTTGATACTTGATTTGAATATGTCAATTAAGGGGTTCTTAATATTTCAATCAGAGAGAACCCATCAACTTCTTAAAAAATTCATGCTCGATCTCAACTTAAATGATCAATACAGTAAAATAAAATTGATTACACACTATGAAAAGAATTATATTAAATGAGAAACTTTAATAATAACAAACTCGATCAAAACTGCATTTTTAAACTATGCAAATGTGAGTTTGTGATTAGGTGGTGCTAGAGCTCTGGTTTCCCTCCTGGCCGTTGGACTCGGCCGTGGCCATCAGGGACTTCTGCAGCGCCTCCTTCTCCTTGCGCAACCTTTGAACCTCCCGGGCCTTCTCTCGCAGATGCTTCTTCAGGCCTTCAATGTCCCTTGCCATTTTGGTCAGGCCAACTTGCCTTTGTTGCTCCAGGGCGCGTATTCGCTGCACCTTCAGGTCTCCGAACTGGAGCCTCAAAACCTGAAGCTGCTCCTCCAAGTTGCCGACCGTTCTTTCGAGATCTTGCTTCTTGTCCACGGTTTGATGGAGTTCGTGCAACCACTCGCTCGCCGCGTTCTTCAACACCTTGATCTCGGCGTCCTTGGCCTCTTTCAGGTTGCAAAGGGCCTCCCTAAGCTTGTCCACTTCAGGATTGCCCAAAATCCACCAAAGCAACGACCGCAAATATTCGAGGAACATTTTTCTTCACGAGAATTTCCACAACCGACGAGAATTCTTACAGCGTGGAATTCAAAGTTACAACACTGGAAACTCTTAAAAGCAAGTTTTTTTGTTTTAATTTTTCAAACAATTTAGAATTTACCACTACATTTGAAGACTCATTATTGGCATTTGTAGTCAAATCAAAGCTTTACAACAATGAAGGTTTTACAATATAAATCGTAAAACTTTGATCCCATTATTGTTAAAATTTGATTTGAATGTGCCAATAAGAAGTCATGTATTAAAATTAAAACTTAGTAACTTTATCTAATATTTTTTATGAAAACTTACAAATGTAAATAAAATATAAAGGGCATTTTAATTTTATGATTTAGTTAAATTTTCAATTTTATTTATATTTATAATGAAATTCATATTATGTATTTCCTAAGCCAGCTCAGAGCCAGCTGAAACAATTTTGTAATAGGGAGAGGGACAGTAAAATGTAGCAGCCTCAAATGAAAATTTTTCAATATAATTTTTAAAACATTTATATACATGGATTTCAATAGAAAATAATTATGAGTGTATTGGCAGATAATTGAAAAATAAATTATTTGAAATTGACTCTCTTGACTTTAAATATTTTAAATCTTTTTTGTTGATTCTGTGAATTCAAATTTCATCTTTAGATTAGTTGATCGTTTTACCTGAAATTAGATTTTTTAGTTTTTTACCCAGCCCTAAGCTCAACATCTGAACATAATTAATAAAACGCAATTTATTTGTTCAATTCTTATATATCTTTTATTGCTATCGAAATAAATTTTTAACCAATTTTGTTATAAGTTTTGCCACAATAGGTAGTATCCGATTCAATTTCATTTGTGCCCCTGATTTAATAAATGGTTGACAACACTTTTAATTATTTAACCCTGGGAGTTAGACGGAAGCCAAGGGAGTTCTAGATATATATTATTTCCAGCCCGAGTTAATGGAAAACAAAAGCCCCTTTCTGAAGAATCCAACTTGCTCTTTTTCTTCAGCTCTTTCCTGTGCGCGCGATCCCCGTGAGATTTGGCGCGGGGGCAGAAAGGGTCAGCAGCATCCGCGCGCTGGCACGCGATAACTACCCCTAAAAAGAGCTTTTCCCATCCAGAGGGTGTGGCTCTTCTTATTGTCCGAGACGAGCATCCATATATACATCCCGAGCGGGCAACCGCAATCACTTCTTCTGCTTCTTCTTCTCCGCCAGCCAAATCACACGCAGCACTACTTTCTTCCAGCTTTATTATTATTTCAAATGCCGGGCCTGATGGTAGTGAGTGTTTTTCGCTTGGCACCGTTTTGCGCGCATCATTTTCCAGAGAGCTGCTGTTTGCGGAGGAAAAGCGAGAGCGACCCTGCTTGCCACGCTAAATCTTACAACATGCGCGCGCGGGAATTGAAAATACTCCGTCGGAATGCGGTCTTTAAGGGGTCGGATTATTGGACTGGAAAGAGACCCTGAACCGCCTTTGTTGGGTCTTTTGACTGCTCTTCTTGAATTTTGATCTCGTTTTCCTACAAAAGAGACGTGTTTAGATTAAAAATAAACGCGAGAAGGAAAGATGGATAAATTTTGCTAGTGATAAACGCTTTTCAATAAGGAGCTGGAAAAATTTTATATGAGATATTTTTAATTTAAAATTATTACTCTTTACTTGATTTATAGCCTGGTATGAACAATTGAAGTGTATATTTATATAAAAAAAAATAATTCCCTCAAAATTGTAGAAAAAATGAATTTTTTTATTTTAATTATTATTATTATTTCTTTTTAAATTTAATGATTTCCTTTGAAACATTCATCTTCATTTATTGTATAAAAACAAAAAATTGCGAAACAATAAATAATTCAATGTAGAGAATGTACTTTTTCCCAAACTTTTAATCATTCTAAAAGACTTGCAAACAAAAATCGTTAAATTTTTTATATCGTTTCTGAGGTTATGCAACCTGTGCAGCATCTCTGTGTTGCGGTTACGTGGAAGAGAGATTGGCCGGGGCAAAACAAAGTAAGTCTGTCAGGATGACGTAATTGTAGCTGGGAGGCTGCTGGCTTTCGTCAGAGAGTCAGAGCGGGCAGGAGGGCCAAAAAAGAAAGAAGACCACGAGGGCATCACCTCGGCGGAGAACAAAAGCGGCGGGCGAAACAAATGTGTGCGTGTGGGCCGAGCGAGCAAGAAAGAGAAGAAGGAGTTTCGCCGGCTAACCCTGTTGATCAATGATCCCTGCAACGCGCGAGACCTTGCGAACCTTCTGCTCGATAAATCATGAAAGTCTAATGTGACTGGCGTTGACGTGCACTCTTATTGGTTCGTGACTTTTATATTTTTTTTTATATACATTTTTTTATATATACATTATTTTTTCTCTTTTATTTTGGCACACGCGCCCGTGCAGTGATAAGGGAAAGACAAACTTCCGGACAGCGCGTGGTCGGAAAAGACAGAACTTGGCTGGGCGTAATTTATATCGCAAATTGAAATCGGGTGGGAAAAAGTTTTTGATTGCGAGAAGTGGCGCAGGGGAGGGAGGCCCTTACGTGCCCTAATTTCAGTCTTCCTATAATAGCAGTTGAAAAGAATAATTTTCTTCGAATTTTTTTTTTTAAACTAGCTTTTACGTAAGGGCGAATTTTCGTAATAAATTATTTGAAGAAAATTTTGAAATTTTTAATTTTTCTGGTCTAAAAATATAAAAATAAAGAGTTTTCTGCTTTTTAAACACAAAATAAAACGTAAAATTAATTAATTCATTAAAACAAAGAAAACATTATAATTGAAAAAAAATATTTAAAAAGATAAAACCAGATGAAAAAATAAATAAAACTTTCTTTGACTTCAACTTTTAAAAATACTAACGGTAATTTTGATTTATGCAAATTTATTTATAATTTTAAATTTCATTTCTTAATTGTAGAAATATTTTAAAACATTTAGGATAACATTGTCCTTTATGCAATAATATTTTTTGGTCACATAATTTTAATAACTGGGCATTATTTAAATAAATTGTAGCGTTTAAAGAGTGAGAGAGGCATTGAACTAGGGGGGGGGGAAGCGTAATCAGATGCTTTTAATTTGGGAGACAGAAAGAGAATCAAAAGATAAAAAGTGGAAGTAGAGGTAGGATTCAGACTCTTTCAGGGCACTTGACAAAAGTGGTTTTGGGATTTAGTGGAAGTATCGGCGACCCCGGGACAGAGAGGCTTCGCGACCACTTCCTGCTTTTAATTTCGCTGGAGCAATTGCATCTCTCTCTCTCTGGAGGAGCAGTTCTTCCGACGACACACATTTTGCGGGTGACATGTCTTGGCCGATATACTTTATGCCGGCGCGCAGAACAAATGGTTTGTGCTAAAGACAGTAAAAGTTAAAAAATATGGTCCGAGCTAGCGAGCGAGCGAGCAAGAAGAAGGACTAGCGCCGAGTTTCCGCTGCTACTTTTTTTGTCTCTGCCTTGCCTCGGGGGAAGCGTGTCATTCGGCCCCGTCGTGGTAATAACAGACCGAGCAGTTTTTTTGATTCACTCTCCGCCACACATATAGAGAGAGAGAGAGATCCGCCGCAACAATATTTTTATTGCATTACGCTGCTGCTCTTCTGGCTTGGCTGACGCGCTGATCGATTTTCGGCGGTAAACTTGTAAACCTGCGGCCCTTTTTGCTCCGGCACTCCGCTTTGATTAGGCAACACTGCTGCAAACTGTAAAAGGGTGTCGTAAAAATTTTGCTTCTTGCACGACATCCATGCTTTAAAGTCGCAGATTCGCCTCAATTTGAACCAGATTTTATTTCTTTATTTTCCTTCCTTGCTTTTACGGCTCCTCTCTTATCTGGTGCACACAAAAAAAAAACAGGACATGTATTTAAGTGGATATATAGATACTATTTTTATAGCTATATAAAATTTTGCCCGGAAAACATCAGAATTTTAAAAATTTTTTAGATGAAATAAAAATGGCTGTTTTATTTTTCATAAAAATAAAAGACGCATGGAGGTAAGTTTGGAAATTTGAACTTTATAATTCAATTAATCTCTAACCAATTATTTTTTTTTTCAAATAATCAAATTAGATACGAATCCTAATTAAAAATGCATTTCTCGCTACTTGCAAAGCACATATTCAATTCTCGTTTCTTGCCACGTCATCAACTCCATTGTACTCCCTTTGTAGACGTAGCCGGTGTAACTCACGTCGTTGTCCACTACGCTGGCGTAACCGCTCACACTGAATGGTATCGAGGACGTGCACCAACGCGGATTGTCCAGACTGCCGTTCCTGGTCAAAGCAACCCATGTCCATTTTACAGCATCAGGGTGCGCTAAGGAAATATGAGCATAATTAAAATGTTAAAATCACCGTTTTTGTTGAATTACTTGTAGTACATGTTGACCAAATGCAATTTATTTCCCCCGCGTTTTCCAGCCACGCCAATTTAAGTCCGTAAGAATTGCAAAATTTGTAGCCCTCTGAGGGATACATCTGCAAGAAAAGTCACTTTTAATTTTCTTCAAAACTTTTTGTTATACTATTTCTGTATACTTGAAAGTCAGAAAAGAGATACCTCCTCCAACAACAGGCACCAACGTAACCTCCAGGTATGGTAGTGTTCCCTATGAGACAAAATAATATTATTAAGTGGAATTATATTTATTTTATTTCATATCAAATTATTTAAAGTCAATATAAATTCCAAATTACATGGTGCATTATCAAATGCCGCCTTTAAAGTCTCCTACAAATTAAGAAAAATTAAGAATTTCCCATCCAATTTCCAAGTTTCCCATACATTTACAACGCCTTCTGGTATATCAGGACACAAAGCAGGTGGTGGAAGCTGTACTTTTTCCTAAAACATATAGACGTGTTAAAAAAAAGATAGTAGCTGGGAATTTTCCAGAATAAATTACAATCGGTGTTTGATTGTCCACGGCCGAAATGACGCTGTTCAACACATCTGGGGCTTTATCTTTTGTGCACTGGATCATTTGCGCCGCCTTGTCGCACTCGTCCATACCAGCTAATTTCTCCATGTTTTAATTTCAACTTTGTAATTTACTTCGTACTTGTTGATTGTTCACACTCATCCTTGTAATCCATGTTTTTCTTCAATTCTGCCAAATTTCCGGAAGACATTTTTTCCAAAATATCCAATACTTGGCTATCGACAAACTTTCCATTCACAAACTTGAAAAAAATGCTTTAATTTAAATTAAATTATTTTTAATTAATGATTTCACCAATCCTGAATTCTCCCCGAGACATTTCATAAAACACTAATAATACAACAATTATTATTTTTCTTCCCCTCTAGAATTGGAACCACACCTTTATACGCAGGTCAATAGATGCCAGGTTGAGCAAACCATCGATTTCAGCTGATCAATTATTTTATTAATTTTTATTTTCAATTATCCATACTCCATACCTTGACTAACGTTGTAAGCCATTGCACACTCGCTTCTAATCGCTGTTCCTCCAGTTGAGGCATTTGAGGAATCTCTTGCCTGAAAAATTTTAAATATTTTACCTGAATCATAATAAAAAAAATCCCGTGTGCCTCGCAAATGTATCGGAGTTCCGTAGTCTCGTCATAATCGGATAGAAGTACATGAGTGGCGTTGACGTAAGCGGCCAAGGCGTTTTGATTTTTGCCTGAGTTGTCCGGCTGGCCAGGCATCCAAACTGCTTCTTTCCGCAGAAGCCGCTTTGCAGTGCAATAGCCGTATGTTCCTTCACAACCCATGTCTGAACCGGACGTCCAAAAGTTATCATTGGTCCCAGTCGCTATACAAAAACAAATTTTCAAAATAAAAAATTCATCTCCTATAAAAATTTATCATTTTTGCAGTGCCTTAAGGATTAATTTATGCACTCGATTATAAGTACCTTTCGCTGAAGCGATTAGTGATTTGTATTTGTAGTCGTATTCAAGACTTAGCAGATTCATTCCCAATTCACAACATGCTTGAATCGCATCTTCGAACTTTGTTTGAAAAAGAAAATTTAAATTAGTGTATTAAAAATTTCTTCTTGACTTTTACCGTCTTGGTTATGCCATTAAAACTGAATAAAAATTTTCTTCCCTGGTATGCGTACCAAGTTCCATGTAGAAGAGGCTCTAATAATTTGAATGTACAGAGCGGAACAATTGCATAAAAATATAAAAGATAAAAAAATTCTTACTGCTTAAATATTGTCCTTTTGGGTCGCTTGTAAAAAGTGATTGCTATATAATTTAATTATTATTGAAGTAGAAAAATATTTAAATAATTTTCAAAACGTTTTTCGCGCAGGTTATGTTTGGACAAACAGGCGCCGAGCATGCAGGCGCGGGAGTTGTCGGACCCTTAATTGAGTTATGAAAATGTTTCATTGTAAAATTTCAATCATTTTTTCCCAGCACCTGACAAGCAAAGTATGATGAATCGTTACACATTTTGTTGAAAAATTGAGAGCTAGTGGCGTTGAATTGGAGGCATTTTTGCTCGTCTATGATATTCGGAAGCAGGATAGATTTTTCCACGCCTGTCGTTCCATTTTTTGAGCACCACGAAACCTGACTAGAGTTCATCTTGAAGGCGGACGTCCAGTAAGTTTTTGTAATATTGAACGAATTGAGTGATGCAGCGAAGCAATCCAGTTTGCTTTGAGATTCAAAAACCAAAGGGTCCATTCCGATTTGGCCACATTTTATAAAATTTTCGTTCCATGATACCTATGTAATTTATTCAGAAACAAAATACAACACATTAAAAGCTACAAACCAGCGATTTCCCTAGTAAAAATTGCTGCTGGCAGGACTGAATCCAAATGCCATAAATATCAGGATCTTTAACATATATATTTTTATATATCGTGATCTTAAAAACCTAAATAATTAATTTTACCGTTAAGAGTTCCGTCAGAGTTGAAAAAGGATTGCTGTTCACATTTTAGAGTATTTTTTATTAGTTTCAAATTTTTTTATTTTTAATTTAAATTACGTTAGACTGGACATTTGTTTGACATGTTGGGTAGATCTGCAGTTATTTAAAAACGTTTGATTAAAAAGTGCCTCAAATGAAGAAAGTATTTACTTCAGGAACTTGAGTTGTTGTTGTAGTGGTAATTGTAGTTGTTGACGAAGCAGTTGTTGTTGTTGACGTTGACAAAGTAGTTGTTGATGGTGTTGATGTTGACGAAGCAGTTGTTTTTGGTGTTGATGTTGACGAAGCAGTTGTTTTTGGTGTTGATGTTGACGAAGCAGTTGTTTGAGTTGTTGTTGGTGTTGATATTGATGAAGCAGTTGTCAAAGTGGACAAGACAGTTGAAGTTTTTGTTGTTGATGCAGTTGTTATCGTTGACACGGCAATTGCTGTGCTTGTTATTGATGAAGGAATTGTTGTTGACATAGTTGAAATTGCTTCTGTTGATGTAGTTGATGAAGGTTGACTTGTCGAAGAGTCACTGGTGCTGCTCATCGACTGACTAATTTGATTATTTGCATTATTTTGTAGAGTTGAAATCGGCAAAGTTGAATCGGTGACTGAAACTCCCTGCGTTGTTGATTCAGAAAGGCTGTTCAAGTTTTTGTTTGAAATTATTTTAGAGTAATGAGGATTGAAATCTGCAAATTAATATTACTTTGCTGAACTCAAGGAGGGCTCCGTTTCACCACTGGATTCAGTCGTTTCCACCTCCGAATTCACGTTGATTGTGGAGGTCATATTTTCATTTTCCGTTGACGCTTCTTTTGATGGTTTGTAGGATGGAGTCTTATTAAAAAAAATATTTTAAAACAGCAAAGATAAATTATTAAACATTATTAATTTTTTAAACTGACTTTGAATGAAGTAGTGGCATTGGCATGTGTTTGCTTATTTTTGTTGAAAGGGTCTGTGCAAGTTCTTTGTCCGCAGCACTTTATAATTCTTAACCGTTTTGAATTTCTGCTCACTAAAATAGCTTTTAGTGTAAAAAAAGGTCAAGGTAAACTTGATAGGTTTTGTACGCGTATGGGGGGACCTCGTCCTGATACCAGCAGCATCCACGTCAGAATATTCAAGTGCCTAATATTTTACATTCTTGTAATTCATTATTAAAGTTTCTGAGACGATAGTCCTTCATTAATCTACGCTTTATTTTAATTCTAGTAGATATTTTTTAAATGTAAACTTTTACAAACAAGTTAATGCTACGTTTAAATTTCATAAAGGTTTTTTTATATAAAATAACCTTCATAAGGTAAACAAAAATATATCTTTGCAAATTTACCTTTATGTTAATTTTATCGTTATAGTTTGTTTCATTATTGCTTGATGCTTACATAATTATGTGTTAATTTGCAAATACGAAATTAAAAACTTCGATCAAAGCTATTAAGATTTGAAAAAATCCACACAAAAAATTTAATTTGTCTAAAATCGACAAAAGTGATATTTTTTGTAATATTAATTTTAATATAAATTTCTTTTACAATTATGAAGATTCAAGTAAAAAAGTTTTGGGGATTCGGATTGTTCTTACTGAATTGATGATAATAATGGAAAAGAGCAGTTGCAAGCACACCTTCATGTTCGTTCTGTCAGTGCGCGGTGTTTGTTGTAGGTTTTTGCAAAAGTTAATAATCTCTCCATCAGCTGGAATTTCCATGCAATTCAATGCGTTTTATTTTTCATCGTCTAGTTCATTATTATATGGGTGGGGAATTCCTGATATTGAGTTTTGTTCATTTCTCTCAATACTCTCACTGCACATCAACTTGCTCTTCCACATCCCATTAGAAGTCACTGTATATTATGGTTATGTGTTTTTGGTAGGCCATGGTTGGTCAATTTCCCAAATCTCAATTATGTGCGGCCAGTGTGAAATCCGCGGTTCTGTTACCGTGCGATTAACAACCTCTGAATCTTGATAACGCTATCCTTCGTAAGAAAACTCACAAAAACAATGTAACTTTTAAAGTAAAAATTCATATCTGTATAAAAGATTAAAATTGCATTCACAAATTCCTTTTTTTTACAGATTGGGAGACAAAAACTAATAAAAATGATTCACTAAACTAAATTTATTTACCTTGCGTCGCAATCAAAGAACTGGTGGCTACAGCTCGCCTGTTTTCTACAATAGAGGATTTTCACTGGATCAGAAATTTTCAGTGGGTTTCAAACGTTAAAGAATTCCTAGATTTGGCGACATTTGATGTACTGAAAGGAAAATATTAACAGAAAAAAATGGTCAACATTTCTGAATTTAAATATGTGTACATGGGTATTTTTATCATTTTCATTACTGGGTAAAAACACGAGTCGACGAGTCAATTAAATTTTCAAATAATAATATTTTTGCCGTAATTGATCTTCACTCACGTTATATTGATTTATTTAATAAAAAAATTAATAAAACACAAAGACAATAACATTATGTCAGTTGTGGATAAAAAAATTAAGATTTGAGAAAAATTAATTATTATGTTTCTAAGTAGTATATAGGAATAAAGAATAAAAAAACATGAAAACACTATCAAATACATCAAATTTAAATGGTTTAAAAAAAATTATTAAAATATAAAATAAAATGACCACACTAGAAAAATATCGGCAAATTATTTTATTCACTCCAATTATTGACAAAATTAAACAATCTCAGATTTATTTCATCCAATTCGCTAGCCGTTTCTGCAAAGTGCGTATTCAACGCTCGTTTCGTCCCAGGTCTTCAACTCGGAAACATTTCCTTTAAAGACGAAAGCGTTGTAACTCGTGTTACTTTCCGTCAATTTTGTGAAGCCGCTCAGACTGAATGGTGTCGAGGACGTGCACCACCGTGGATTGTCCGGACTGCCCTTCCTCGTCGCGGCAACCCACGTCCACTTGTTAATACCTTGGTATTCTGAGGGAACAATAATTTAATGCTTAAATTGAGTTTTCTTTCTTAATTTAAGTACGTCCAACACAAGTAGATCTAAAGCAGCCTATAAGTCCTGAATTGTCAAGAGTCGCCAGCCGGAGTCCGTAAGTGTTGCAAAATGGATAGGCGTCTGCGAGAGTCATCTGAATAAATTCGATTTTCAATCTTCCTAGCACACATGATTTTTTTCAACTGTACTTGAAAGTCCGAAACAAGAAATCTGACCCAACAACATGCAGTAAAGTAGCCCCCAGGTATAGACGTGTTGACTAAAAATATTGCAAATTAAATAATTTATTCACTTAAGTTCCAAAATTACGCCCAGCTGAAGCAAACATTTGCTTCAAAGTAGCCTGAATGAATTTAAAATAATTAAAAAAATTAAATTCCAGTTACGGAAATTATTTTCCTACATTTACAACGCCTGCTGCGATGCCAGGACACATAGCCGGTGGCGGAAGTTCTACTTTTTCCTAGAAATTCAAATTAAAAAAAAGAAAGCTGGAAATTTTTCATGCAAAATAAAATACAATTGGCGTTTGATTGTCCACGGCCGAAATGACGCTGTTCAAAACGTCCGGGGCTTTTTCTTTTGTGCACTGAATCATTTGTGCTGCTTTGTCGCACTCGTCCATTCCAGCTAATATCTCCATGTTTTAATTTCAATTTGATAATTTTATTCCTACTTGTCGATTGTTCACACTCATCCTTGGAATTCATGTTTTTCTTCAACTCGTCCAAATTTCCGGAAGCCATTTTTTCCAAAATAGCCAACACTTGGCCATCCACAAACTTCCCATTCACGAACTGCGAAAAATTTGTTTTTATTTTAAACTAACTATTTTAATTAAATAAATAAATTCACCAGGCCTGAATTCTCCCCGAGACATTTCATAAAACACTAAAAATAATACAATTATTTTTTTCTTTTCGCAAATTTAACCAAGCACCTTTATACGCAGGTCAATAGATTTCAAGTCGAGTAAACCATCAATTTCGGCTGATTACATAATTTTTTACAATATTTTATTTTTATCTTTGAAATGATCATGCCTTGACTGACGTTGTACGCCATTGCACACTCGCTTCTGATCGCTGCGCCTCCAGTTGATGCATTTGAGGAATCTCTTGCCTGAATTTTTTTTTTACAATTTTACAAGAATTGCAATACACATTTTCCACTATGCCTCGCAAATGTATCTTAATTTAGCGTTCTCATCAAAGTCGGACAGAAGCACGTGAGTGGCGTTGACGTAAGCGGCCAAGGCGTGTTGACTTTTGCCCAAGTTGTCTGGCTGTCCAGGCATCCAAATTGCTTCTTTTCTCAAAAGTCGCTTTGCAGTGCAGTAGCCGTACTTCCCCTCACAACCGATGTCAGAACCAGACGTCCAAAAATTTCCAATAGATGCTGTCGCTGCATATTTCAACAATTTTCATTAATTTAAGTAATCCTGAAAAATTATACAATTAAAACTGCTTAAAGCTTTTTAGTTTTACTTAATTTTTTGATTAAGTAAAATTTAATTGATATTATTTTAATTTTATTCTTTACTTCTTAATTACATTTACTGATAATATAAAGAAATATCATCATGAAAAATAATTTATTTTTCCCTTAAGCCAGTTTTTAATTTTTAATTTGAAATTTCATTTTTAACCTTTTACCTAATAATGTAAGGGTTCGATAAATATTTTTACAATGAATTTGCAGTCTAATTTTTAAATTAATTTATCGTGAGCTAGGATTTTATTTACCTTTGCCAGTAGCTAAAATTGATTTGTACTTGTAATCATACTCGAGACTGAGGAGGCTCATTCCCAACTCGCAACATGCTTGAATCGCTTCTTTGAACTTTGGAAAAAGAAATGAAATATCCAAGAATATTTATAAAATTATTTCAATTCTACCGTCTTTGTCACGTTGCTAAAACTGATAAGAAATTGTCTTCCTTGATATGTGTACCAAGTACCGTGTACAAGTGGCTCTAGAAATACAGTGCAATGTAATTTATTCTCTTCTTTTTAAATTTCTAAAAAAAATTCGTACTGCTTAAAAATTGTCCATTGGTGTCGGTTGTGAAAAGAGTTTGCTGATTTTATGACAAAATTTTGAATTGAAAATTATTAAAACTGCAATAATTTTTATTTTATTTTACTTCTTACATTTTTCACGCAAGTCACATTTGGACAAACAGGCGCCGAACATGCAGGAGCAGGAGTTGTTGGACCCTGGATCGAGTAAAGAAAATTATTCATTTGTGAAACTTATAATTATTTTTTCAACAATACCTGACAAGCAAAATATGACGAGTCGTTACACAGTTTGTTGGAAAACTGAGAGTTATTAGCGTTGAATTGGAAGCATTTTTGCTCGTCGGTTATTTCCGGAAGAATGATAGATTTTTCTACTCCTTTCGATCCGTCTTTTGAGCACCAGGACACCTGACTAGGATTTTCTTTGAAAGCGGATGTCCAGAAAGTTTTTGTTATGTTGAACGAATTGAGTGATTTCGAGAAACATTCCAGTTTGCTTGGTTTGTCAAAGAGCAAAGACTCCATTCCAATTTGGTGGCATTTCATCAAATTTTCTTGCCATGAAACCTTTTTTTAACAATGTTTCAAAATGAGATATTACAAAAATTTAAACAAAATTTTTAAACCAGCTTTTTCCCTAATAAAATTTGCTGCTCGCAGGACTGAATCCAAAAACCGTAACCATCAGGATCTAAAGTTTGTTTATTATCTTTTGTTGTGCACCTATTTTTTTTTTTAATGAATTTCATTTTGTACCATTTAGAGATCCGTCTGAATTAAAAAGTGAGCTCTGAGTAAAATTTTTGACGTTATATAAAATCCTTTGTAATAAAAATAATTAAAATATTAATTACATTAGACTGGATATTTGTTTCACAGGTGGGGTAGATCTGCGATATTTTAAAGTGTTTTTAAGAACACGCCTTTTAAATCAATTTAAAATTTACCTCAGGAACTTTAGTTGTAGTTGAAGCAGTTGTTGTTGTCGTCGTCGAAGATTCGGTTGTGCTACTCATCAGTTGACTAATTTGATTATTTGTGCTATTTTGTTGTTGTGATGGAGTTGAAGTCCCTAAAGTTGAATCTGTGATTGAAACTTCCAAAGGCGCACCAGACAAACTATTCAAATTTCTGTTTGGATTTATTAAAAACTTAAAATATCTTAAAAATTACTCCGCTAAACTCTTGGTGGGTTCCGTCGTTTCAACAACTGAGTCGGTCGTTTCTGATACTCCAACTTCAGTTGTTTCTTCATTAATTGGTGTTGTTAAATCTTTGCCTGTGTTTGCTTTCGACGACATCCCTTTTGATGATTTTGTGGTGGCAATCTTTATTTAAAAATAAGTCACATTTGCATTTTTCCGATCAAATTAACCTTCAGTGCAGTGAAGTTTTCATTTCTATTGGAATATCCACTGCAGGTACCAAGGCCGCAGCAGTTTATTATATTTTTCCGGGAATGGCTACTTTTGGCTGAGGATTAACCGGTAGTGAGAAACAGATGTATTTAATTTTTCAGATATTTCACCAGAGCAAATTTTCTCCCATTTAAAATAATTTAAAAATAATTTATTTGTTTTTACTGTGAAATTATGAACCACATTTTTATACCTTTGTTATTCCAATTTTTAAGAACGAAGCCCCCTCGAATTGTGATTAAAAATTTTTACGTTAAATAAAAATGTGAATAACAAAGATTGACAGACACAAATTGTTTTTAAATGGGAGAAAAATGCATCTAATGCAAAAGTGCATCCGCCGAGTGTGATTAGCGATTATATAAATTAATTATTATTAATTCTAACCCGTAAGAACCCTACTTTTCCTAAAACCGGCGGCATCAACGTCAGAATATTTAATCGCCTAAAATATTTTTATGTGTAGTAAATTTATGATTAAAATTATGTGCGATTTACCAAGCTGATTGCAATAACAGAGACAAGCACTTGCAAGCACACCTTCATATTCACACTGCCAATAACACTGAGCGCTGGCATATCGTTGTTTTGTAGGCATGGAATTTCCAATTCATATGAAGGGAAATTCCAGGCATTTTTTTTTTTTCAAATTTTTAACTTCTAAATTTTGAATGAAATTTAACAAATAATTTTCTGCAAGGTCGACGATAATGTTTGTAAGTAACAAATTAAAATTAATAACTTCAAATATTTAATGTAATCCTCAACTCCTTTCCGTTCCAAAATTTTAATTGCGAAATTCAACTGCGAATATGAAAAATATTTGACACAAAGCACTATTTCAAAAAAAAATTTTGATGACTTCCTTCGTCCATATTGCAGGGAAACCCATATGTTTTTGGTAAGATAGATTATGGCAAAAGCGTTGACAGAACACACGGATATTGCTTATGAAAAACAAGAGCGGGTGTAAAAATTCTACCATTTCACACCTCGTGAATAACTTATTCATCTACCAACATTACATTTTAATTATATATTATTGTAATATTTTTCTTTAATATTTGAACCAATAAATTGTAAATTAATGCTGGCTGTGACATTGTAAATATGAATGGAGATGCAATGTGTGTATGTTATAACTTACATTGATTATTATTTCAAGTAAAAAAAAAAAAAAAAATAAATAACCAAATTTTGGATAACTCAAAACAGTGGCCAAACAAAAACAATAAAATAAATGTTAAAATTTTTTAATTATTCATATTTTGCTTGGCAGACATTTTTGGGCTCATATTGTCAAAAGGGTCCTGAGACTTAAATTTCATCATGGAATTATAAATGATCAAGCTATTAAAAAATCTTTTTCACTTATATACTTCATGTAAAATTTAACCAGATTAATGGCGATAAATATTATCCAGATAATCGCTTGAAGGCGTAATTAACTGATCTCGAATCTCGCATTTTCACGATATTGACAAGTTTCTCAATTTTGACGTGCACGCCTTCGGAACACTTGTCAAAAATTTGCTGCCAAGAAGTTTCGACGAGTCGTCGCACCCTCTGTCAGAGAAGAGGGATCGGAATCAGGGCCGCCGCAGAAACTTTGGAGGAAAATTTGCACGCCGAACTTGCGTCGAACAAAGGGAAAGTTTTTCAGGCAGCAGCTCGGTGGCGAGTCAGAACACAGGCCTTTTCTCACTCGCAGGTTTTCAACAGTTTTGTAAACACTCTGGGCGAATCGCAAAACTAGACATCACAGGGTGTGTGGCTGGAGAATTTGTCGCGACGCGTGCAAAAAAGTCCAAGTCCTTTGATGTTCTGAATTTTTCCCTCTCGATTTTCTGCTTAATTCCGAAGTAGGGCAAAAGCAAGCTGAGCCGAAAGTGAACGAGAGAGAGAATTATTGGCATCAGCGTTTTTTAACTTGGTGAGGAGTGAGAGAGCGAAGCAAGCTTTTTCTCATTTTTCAGCGAAATGTCATAGGCAGCAGCCTACTTTGCCAATGCATACGGGTGCAAACAGTCGGAAAATTCGCGTTGGCGCGGCCAACTCCTAAAATATTCCACCCGGCGGGTCCTACATTGAATCCATGTACCGTTCAGATGCAACTGAAATTTAGAAAAGGAACCGAAAATAATTTACATAATTTATATTATTATTGGAAATTGTAAATAATTAAGCTTTTAAATAAAATTTAAATCCATAATAGCTATTTTAAGCCAATTTAATTAAAAAATATGTATCCTTAACAAAACTTTTAATTAGTTAATATTAATATTTAAAAAAATATTATTATTAATAAAAAAATATTTTCATTTAAGGAAAAAACCCTTTTTTGTTTTTGCATTAAATATCCTGAACTGTAAAAAACTGCATCAATTGAGTTAGCTTCTTGAAAAAAAAACTCAAATTTGTCATCCGGGATTATGTTTCGCTGAAAAAAAATTTCTTAATTATCAGAAGCTATTAAAATTTCAACTCCTCAGAGGAAAATATAAAAAAGTATAAATAATAAACGAAAATCTAATATTCTAATAGCGAATAATCTAATTCACAAAAATTCTTTATTTTTTTCAGAGATATTTATTAACAAAGGCATTTGATTATTATTTGCAAAGATATTTTGGTCAGCATGAAGTTTGGGGCTAATTAAACTTTATACCAGTATAATTGTATTGAAAATTTAAATACATTTTTCGAACTGACAAAATAAACTGCTTAATAAATACTTTTTCTTGGACTAATTCGACTACTATTAATTAGTAGCTTCTCAATTGGTACATGGATTCAAAATGTGCAACCGGCGGCACAGCGCCGCGTGCTGCGGGCCGGAAAAAAATTCTCGGATGAGCCGCTGATGATTTTGAATACGCGAGAGGATAGAATTATTCCGCGCTTGTTTCCCTGCTGCTCCGCTCTTTCTTTCTTTTTTTTTATATTCGGCGTCAGAGCAGAGTTGGATGCTGTTTTATTTTTCGCCTTTTTTGCACGCACCGACCGCAAAATGCCTGCGCTGACCTTTTACACTGCAATACCAGCTGCGTGCGTGTGGGTGCCGCAACAAAACTGGACCTCATTTTGGATTCTGGGCATTTTCAAAATTCATGAACAATACGAGAGCTGGGAGAGTACATCTAAAAATTAAATATTTTTATAAACGTAAATTCAACATACTTTGTTAAAAAGATTATAAATTTATATGCAAAATATTTTGATCAGAATAAAATTAAATTTTCATTATTCATTTTTTAAAGATTTTTTCATTAATAAATTTTTAATTTTTAAGATTTTGGCAGTTAAAAACTATTGCCTTAAGCGTAATGGAGCTTAATTATTAATTGAATATTTTTACAGCATATATCATTTTATCCAGCATTCAATACCAATCTTAACCGAAATATGTGAGGTGTGTTGTGAGGCCAGCGGTGTATCCCTGGCACCCTGTGGGAAATATCCCTCAAAGGATCTATTATGACTATTCACCATACAATTAACTGTACAACTCTAATCTTTCACATGAAGAGTCTCAAGAGGGTTAAAATATTCAATTTCAAATCACAAGACACAATTTGTACAAATTATTCAATAAAAAATAGCACAATCCAGTTGTTTCATTTTGAAGCATAAATGTTCAAAGAATTTTAAGTTTCACATATTAGTCTAAAATGGGTCTCTGTTTTAACAAATATAAGATGTTTAATTAGTAAACCATTTTATATTTATTATATATAATGGATTTTTGCGATGTAAAATCGTATTTTGCTAGAGAGTAAGATTTTTGCGGTACCAATGTGCGGCGCCGATTTGCGGTGCCGCTTTGCCACGGATTTGCTTAATATAATTAAAAAAAATTCAAACAATTTTTATTTCAATTTCTAAATTTTTTATAAGAAATTTATTAATAAAAGCTGAGGAAATAAAATTAAAAATTAAATTATAATCAATATAAAATTAAGTCGTTTATTTTTACTAGATGACCCGATCATTTCAGAATCAACTTTCTAATTTTATGAAATATTGTTTTTTTTAACTTGTTTTACAAAAAAAATTTTAAATCGTTTTTTTTTTAAATAAAAAAAGAAAAAAAGTTCGCGCTCGTGCGGCGCCGATTTGCGGCGCCGATTTGCGGCGCCGATTTGCGGGGTCGATTTGCGGGGCCGATTTGCGGGGCCGATTTGCGGGGCCGATTTGCGGGGCCGATTTGCGGCGCCGATTTGCGGCGCCGATTTGCGGCGCCGATTTGCGGCGCCGATTTGCGGGGCCGATTTGCGGCGCCGATTTGCCACGGATTTGCTTAATATAATTAAACAAATTCCAACAATTTTTATTTCAATTTCTAAATTTTTTATAAGAAATTTATTAATAAAAGCTGAGGAAATAAAATTAAAAATTAAATTATAATCAATATAAAAATAAGTCGTTTATTTTTACTAGATGACCCGATCATTTCAGAATAAGTTTTCTAAATTTATGAAATATATTGTTTTTTTTAAACTTGTTTTACAAAAAAAAAAATTTTAAATCTTGATTTTTTTACATAAAAAAAAGAAAAAAAAGTTCGCGCTCGTGCGGGGCCGATTTGCGGGGCCGATTTGCGGGGCCGATTTGCGGGGCCGATTTGCGGGGCCGATTTGCGGCGCCGATTTGCGGCGCCGATTTGCGGCGCCGATTTGCGGCACCGATTTGCGGCGCCGATTTGCGGCGCCGATTTGCGGTGCCGATTTGCGGGGCCGATTTGCGGGGCCGATTTGCGGCGCCGATTTGCCACGGATTTGCTTAATATAATTAAACAAATTCCAACAATTTTTATTTCAATTTCTAAATTTTTTATAAGAAATTTATTAATAAAAGCTGAGGAAATAAAATTAAAAATTAAATTATAATCAATATAAAAATAAGTCGTTTATTTTTACTAGATGACCCGATCATTTCAGAATAAGTTTTCTAAATTTATGAAATATATTGTTTTTTTTAAACTTGTTTTACAAAAAAAAAAATTTTAAATCTTGATTTTTACATAAAAAAAAGAAAAAAAAGTTCGCGCTCGTGCGGCGCCGATTTGCGGGGCCGATTTGCGGGGCCGATTTGCGAGGCCGATTTGCGGCGCCGATTAGCGGCGCCGATTTGCGGCGCCGATTTGCCACGGATTTGCTTAATATAATTAAACAAATTCCAACAATTTTTATTTCAATTTCTAAATTTTTTATAAGAAATTTATTAATAAAAGCTGAGGAAATAAAATTAAAAATTAAATTATAATCAATATAAAAATAAGTCGTTTATTTTTACTAGATGACCCGATCATTTCAGAATAAGTTTTCTAAATTTATGAAATATATTGTTTTTTTTAAACTTGTTTTACAAAAAAAAAAATTTTAAATCTTGATTTTTTTACATAAAAAAAAGAAAAAAAAGTTCGCGCTCGTGCGGGGCCGATTTGCGGGGCCGATTTGCGGGGCCGATTTGCGGGGCCGATTTGCGGGGCCGATTTGCGGCGCCGATTTGCGGCGCCGATTTGCGGCGCCGATTTGCGGCGCCGATTTGCG